AATTGTCCAGTTAAAATATTTCACATTATGGAGTCAGGTAATAATTCCACACTGAAATCCAATATTTGTTATATTTTTGAGATAAATAACAGTCAGTGTACACAGAATTAAGTGAAATTGAGGAAAAACAAAGAATTAATCAAGCTGATGACTAAGAAAATTTTAGCTTTAAATTGAAACAAGAATAGTCACATAAAAAGTACAACTATATAGTTTTCCTTCCAACGTACGTTAATAAAGTTGTTATCTGACACATTACAGGCACTTTCAGGAATAAAGCATCCGTCTGGACTACCATTCGGTGTTATCAAACTAAATAAATTTTCTGATAGTGTTATTCAGAGAAGAGATAACATACAAACGTTAGGTTTATACCTAAAAATAATGAATCCTTGATTTTTGGAATGGTTTGGATTATCTAGTTGCTGATATATTTTTTACTGAGATTTGATCAGTCTTATTTAGCATATAGACATCCTGTGAGGACTGTCAAGACTGATCGAATTTCAGTAAAAATATGAACGAGATAATCCAAACCATTTCACGTTGAATTAGATCTCATACCCGTTGTACGAGTGGCTATATGGGCTCAGGAGCTAAGTGGATAATGTGACGGCGTTTGAAGCGGACGGTACTTGGTTCGAGTCCTGGGATGAACATCATCGCTGAGATACAGGTATATTCAGCTGACGAGTCCCAAATAGGAAAAACCGCGCGTCCTGGATGCAACTGTTAGCCACGTTTCATTTATTATATATCAACTTGTGTCACAATGACTATAACAAGGCAATCCTCACAAGATACCCATATGCCAACCAAGACTGATGAAATTCCAGTTCAAAATGTAAGTCCTTGAGTTGTATTGGAACTCGTGTGATTTGGTCGTAATTTCAGAAGAGTAGTCGTACAATTTAGTCAGAGTATTGATTATTTCTCTTGGACTATCTGTACATTGCCAATGACCCTCTATTAATCAATGACACGATTATAATGAGATAACAGTCGAGAACAATACTTAACACTTATTGTTTCAGAATGCGATTCTCGTCTGAGAGATAGAATAGAACACATCATAGCAAGTAGGTAACTTATAAGTATACTGCTTGAGTTTATAAATCAACTCATATAATAATATATAAAATCTTGACCACATATAAGCATAATTAAATGACTATATATGCACAACTAAAGTATACGTGGAGGAGAATTAAGTGACAGATTCACAATTAATTAACTTAAGGAAGCCAGTCTATGAGATTTAAGTAAGGTTACAAGTAAAGGGAAGACACAGATAGAATAAACCAATATTTGGTAATTTTGCAACAAAAATTTAAATAACTGCTTCAAGATGACAATTACTTCACGAAATACTATGCTCGCTCCAACTAGAATTCCGACAATTCACTTGATAACACTCCATTTTATTATTATTACTATTATTATCATTTTTATACACTACGTCACTTATCTTCCTCTATTCATATCGAGACCCGTCGGTCTACTCCGGGTGACCGTGAGTTTGACCACAAACGAAGGCTGTTACGTAATGAAATTGGGCAAAACTTGCGTAAGGACCGAGAAGCCTGGTGGTCGGAGCATGCTAATGTGCTGGAAGCAGCAGCTGCATCTGGTAACTGCCGGAAGCTCTTCCAATTCATCCGATCCACTGGCAGCAAGAAGTATGGTGTGAGCGAAACAATCTGTGAAAATGATGGGATAACAGTCACCAACATCCGTCGACGTCTTGGACGATGGGCAGAATTCTTTGAAGGGGGTTCGACTGGTCTGCTGCTCCGGCAGCATCGATCAGATTGTCCTGCCCTCCATGGTCTGTGACGCCTGATCCGTCAAATGAGGCGGCAGTCCGCAAGGAACTCCAACTCTTGAAACGCTAAAAATCCCCGGGCCAAGATGACTTACCTCCGGCTCTTTTTAAAGATGATGGTAACTTTCTGGTTAAGGAACTGTCTGTGTTGTTTACAAAGGTTTGAGAGTGTTCCAACATCATGGAATGAGTCAATAGTTGTCCCTATCTTCAAAAAGAGTTCATGTTGTTCCTGTAACAACTATCGTGGGATAAGTCTACTCCCGATCGAGTCCAAAATATTGGGTTCTGTCATACTTCGTAGGGTGTTCAAAACACGAGAACGATCGACTTACGAGGAGCAGGCTGGTTTTCATTCTGGTTGAGGATGTATTGACCATATCTCCACCCTCCGCCGAATGTTAGAACACAGTCATGCTTATCACAGGTCAACAATCATAGTGTTTCTTGACATCAGGGCTGCCTAAGATTCGTAGGACTGGACTGTTCTCTAAGATTGTCTATTAAAGACGAGAATTTTTGAAAATTTTACTAACACCTTGAAAGTAACATATACTAACACCTCAGACAGAGTGAGGAAGTACAACCACCTATTCCCACTGTTCGATTCAAGCAGTGGAGTTAGACAGGGTTGCTCAATCTCACCGTTCCTCTTCAACTTTGCCATCGATCGCATTCCGAAAACGGCTCCGATAAAACGTAAATAAGGGTGGTGTGGATCTGTTGCCTGGAGAAAGATTTCTCGACCTTGAGTATGCGGATGATACTGTCTCACTGTGTGATAATGCTCAAGCCGTGCAATCTGCACTTAATCAGTTGGCAATGAGTGTCCATAGGTTCTTTGCACCTTCGAAGTGCAAAGTACTTTTACAAGACTGGCATTTTTGTCATAAAAAATCACCGTAAGACGAATCTTAAGAAGTGTGATTGCGCACTGTTGAGGAGTCTCATACTAGGACGAAATAGATGCTAAATGACTTTTTTGTTTACAGTTGTTATTTAACTAGGGTCGATTTTTCAATTCAAACTATGAAACTGGACAATCTACGTAAGCCTCTTAAGCCCAAAAAGATAGTTCTGAAAGAAACTCCCTTCATCTTCGCCTGCACGGATACCAATTAGCAATCAAACACCATGACATATCTTCGCTTATATCAATGCATGTGGACGACTTTGAGCGTATATCCAACTGGGAAAATGTTGAGATCTTAGATATAGGGAATACTAAAACCACCAGGGAATTTTTAGAAGCTTGTTACTCAGGTCAATCAGCAGTCAACAAACACACCGAAATTGACACAATCTATCAACTGATCAGAAAAATCAAGGACAAATATAGAACCAAGAATCAGACCAACGAAAGATATAACGAAAATAAAGAGGTACACAATGACAGGTTAAAGGTCAACAAAAACCAATCAAGATCGAGGTCGACGGTACAAGCTGTGAGTTATATGTGGAGAAACTTGAACACTTTACTTCTACCCGAAGTTTGTGCTGATGTTGTTCAGAAGAAAAATGAAATCTGCGTGACCAAACCACCCAGCTCAGAGAACAAAGCTCCACCCAAATAAACCTAGTGTACCCAACAATAACCTATGTGCAACACTCTTGATTATTGATAGGCAGACGGATATCATATCTGCACCACAAGTTGAAAAAGGTTTATCAGGCTTTTTGAATCTCCATCAAGATTTCATCAGCAACCGACCTAACAGAGATGATGCGACTTTCAAGATAAGTGTAGTCCTCAACACGGCAAACTTTACTTCATACGATTAGACTAGTCAGTAAATTTGAAGTATACTGGCGAACAACCTTAAGGTCATAATCTGTTTTGCCACTCAGGAGACAGAAAAGGTAAATGAACGACATACAATCATAGGATTTTAGGATTCTTACATTACAACTAATGTTAGTTCGTCATGGAAACCCTAACCCTGATTCCCAACACGAACTTCTAACCCTATTTTGATATTCGCGCAATAACTTTGAAGCTGCTTTCTCGATCCTCATTGGTTTGGCAGTATATTTTGGGGTTAGCCAAATAGTCATAGACGCAAATCAATTCTGAGACGACATTTTAGATTTGGATGATGAGAATCACATCTTAAACATTCTTTTATTACAGCTCAAGATATTCAGAAAATTATATTTATTTCGGAATCTTTATCAAACATTTCTGTCATCTGAATACTTTAAACCACTCAAAAGAACTCCGGGTAAAAGAATAATCCTTTAGAAGTTAAACAAATAAAAATTTACTTCTAAGAGTATACCTACAGTGAAAGTGAATAGTAATAAATAAACACACCCTTGAACGTCTTTAATTCTTGTGGAAATCCTACCACTACTTATCCTGAAGATGATTCTCAAGTTGCTTTATCTACTAATGAAAAACAATTACCTCAGTGAATTTAAACAAATAATATTGAGTGTCTTAGGAAATTTATCTGATATAATATAGATGATTTAACAAATTACAATGTTTCCAAATAAAATCCAATGATGCGTTAACTGTCTAATCTGTAATATGTACTTCGAGTTTACCGAATTAATTGTACGCTACATGAAGATGGGGTTTGGCTGTGAATGAAGTGTTCGGGTAGCATTAGAGGCATAGTGATTGTCATTTCTCGGTTTCCCATATTGCGGAAGGATACTTATTCTTGAAGGACCTGAAAAAGAGACTGAGTAAGGGGTCACGCCAGAGCCCTGGGGACAGCTCCTTAAAACCAGACTTACATGGGTGAGTTGCCAGTATTTTTGCATATGTTAGCTGCATACTTTTCAGGCCTAACCATTAGTAATGGACACTTATGAAAGAAGGTAAGATGTGCTGTTTGACGGGTCGACCTTTTCTAGCCACACTATTTCGTTATGAGGAGGCATCACCGCTATTTATTTTGTGTTAGTACCTTACTCCCATCAAACTCCTGTACAACCATCAAGATTCACTTTACCCCTGACTTTAAGCTAGCTGCTTTTAGTCTTACCATTCTCCAACCAACCTACATTGTGTGGCAGGAAATGAAGAAACGAGTGTTCCAACTAATATAATACGTACAATTGGGTTATTACGATATGCAAGGACAGTCACCCCGCCAGGGTAGCAGCTACGATCGGGTTGTACGCCACACCAATATAACCAATTCAACGAACAGCAAAGATTTCACAATTAAATTTCAAAATCAATTTATATTATACACAATGTACGGTTTGAAAAAGTCTCTTTATATCACTAAACTATGTAAAATAATTTAAAAAATAATGCCATTTCTAATTTTTCTCAGAAAAATTACGACAGGATGAAGACAAGGGACACTTAACAGGAAAGGAATGTGGAATGATTGAACAATTGCTTCTTTCCAAATACGAGTCTGTTTAAGAGGATGAAAGCTATGTTGAAACATGCAAGTTAGGGATATTCGATTATTTTCAGTTTAAATACAACTGAAGTTGAAAAAATACATATATATGATTAGTAATAGTAAATCACAACACAGTCATACGGTCGTAAAAAGAAAAACAAACACATGAGGTATTGTTTGTTTATTTGTGTCGACGTTTTATATGATAGCTTTATAATAAGCATACAAAACAAATGCTTGAATGGAAAGTATTAACAAGATGAAAAAAAGGTAGGCAAGAGAAAAAATTTTTTGTATTCATTTTTTTAAGCATCTTTAGAATTAAGCTTATCTTGACTTGATACTACACTAACTGAACGATCTGGACTTTCTGTATTAAGATTAGTTAATTCATGAATAACTGGAGTATTTGATTGACTGAGTGACAATTTTCTAATTTTAGATCCTAAACGGTGAAGTGATGATCCTATTGAAGTAATTAATGTATCAGGATGTAGATGTGGACTCTGTTGATCAGGTGTTAAAGAGTGTATTGAAGGAGACAACTTTAAATTACCTTCTTTTGTAGCTCCAGTTACTTCCAATGATCCAATAAAAGCTGTATGTGATGGTCTACGTTGACGAGTAGGTGGTAATTCAGGCCAAGGTGTTTCATTATCCATAGGTGATTCAAAAGTATGAGGTGTTGATAGATAATTTTCATCATACGAATTAGGTGACAGAAAACTGTCTCTTCGACTACCACCGCCTTTTGACTTTGTACTAATTTTCCTTTGACGACTACCAGGGATATTAAGTCGACTATAATAATCCGAATCACTGACAGCAGTACCATCAGTATGATCATCATCATCAGTTTCAATATCGACTTTACAACCAGATTTTACTAATTCAGGGATTAAATTCGGATCGGAAATACATGTATCAACAAAATATAAACTTGTATTTAAATTTCTTTCCAATAATGGAACAACTTCAAAATCATCATCATCTAAACCGAACGGTGAAACAAGTGATTCAGCTACTTTAAGCCAGCCATTGTAAAAAATAAAAGAAAGAATTGTAAATACTGGGATATTTGGTAATACTCTAGGAAATGATATACCATTAGTGACATTTGTATCATTAGCAGGATTGCTGAGAATACTACTACTGAAATTATTATTATTGTTGACAGATGTTAAATTAGATGAATTGACTCTGGTTGACATATGCGGTAGGATTGAAGGGGCATCAATAAACTGATGACCGAAAATTGTAACAGCAAAATAAATGTACACAGCCAGTGCTACAACCTGTGAAGAATGAAAGTGAAAATTTACAAAATCTACAAATTTATGTTAAACCATGAGTTTACTCTTAAATAAGGATATTAGTAAACAAAAAAGCCGACAACCAATACCAACATAATTTTATGGTTTGTATCATGAACTGCTCTTAGATAACCATTGAAAACTGAAAAGTATTCGATAACTGTTTCGTCTTAGTATATGAATTCTCAGTAGTGAGCACTCACGACCCAAACAATGATTGAACCCAGAACCATTATCAGCATCCGATTATTTACATTACTAAATTTAATCAATAAGCGATACAATTTTCCTCACTCACTATTTGCATCTAACACAATCTGTACATTATGAAACGTATGACAAAAGCCATCTGCTCAGTACAAGAAAACATATTGGTGAGGTTTGGGCAGCATACATAGCGTACATAAGTTAATATATACAAAAAGTAATGACCAATATATCCTGTGTCAGAAAATCAACGATTTAGTAGGGTTAGTAATAAATGAAAGGAATACATTATTGCATCATTTTTGAAGCTAAAAACTTATCACAACCTGAAATATTTGATCGAACAATTGAAAAACAGTGGAAAGATAACTTTACACAATCTCTGGAGTTAACAGTAAAAAATGTGTGAAAGAAGAGTCGCGTAGACAAAATATTCTGTTTTAAAAAGTTGCATTACGGTTAGGCTAGACGATTTACAATATGTAGATATATATGAAGCTGATTTACTGATATATACCTCTAACCCCAAATATCAACACTGAAGAAATAAGCCAGAATAGGAAAACAATGGATAGGCTTCTTAAACATTGCTACTAACGGCGGTGATTACGATCAAAACTCAGTATTTATGCCACTGCCTAATGTGGTATTGAATATCACTATCATGAATCCCAAAATGTAAATTTTCGTGCATGTTTTAGGAATACCAAGGAACCAGTTTGAAATGCCCTTTAATTGTCTAGTAATACGAGAACTGACGTAGTTTCAGATCACCACACGGTGATTGTCAAGACAAAACTGAAGCTAAAGACGCACTGAACAACTGTAGAAACAGCATTACAAATGTTCAAGACAGCCTTGATTCGAGACACTCATAAACTCAGAGTTTAAGGTTGTTCTCAGAAACAAGTTTCAAGACTTGGGATGAATAACAAGTGCCAACATACTGGAAAGGAGCATACATCATCAGGATACCGAAGAAATGAGATCTGAGCAAGTGTGAAAACTACAGAGGCATAACACTACTACCGGTTCCAGGAAAGGTTTTCAACAGTGCTGTTGAACCGAATGAAAGACTCAGTAGATGCGCAACTTCGAGATCAACAGGCTGGATTTCGTAAGTATCGATCATGCACAGATTAAATCGCCACACTACCGATCATCGTTGAACAACCAATTGGATGGAACTCATCACTATGCGTCAACATCTGTGACTATGAGAAAGCATTTGATGGAGTGGATAGGAGGACCTTTTGGAATCTTTTCTCTGCTATGGTGTACCTGAGAAGATTCTCACCATTATTCGAAATACGCTGCACTACTCTGCGAAAGGGTGCATGGAGGACACCTGACAGATGCATCCTAAGTAAGCACCGTAGTCATACAAGGCTTCTTACTTTTCCCTTTTCTCTTTCTTCTGTTGGTTGACTGCATTATGAAGACCTCGACATGTGAGGGGAAGCACGGAATACAATCAGTCAGTCATCTACAACGTAGGACCAGGCGCATATATGCATCGGTCCAAGTTGCCATACTTCATTAGCACAAGATGAACACCGAATTCATAGAAGTAGCTAATTTAATGGTGGTAATATATTAAATAAAGATTGTGTATAAGGATATAATGCAGGGAGAAAGAATAAGTTCGTAGAACGAAAGGTATAGAGCAATTTTAATCTCGAGGTTTAGGGGAAGACAAAAAGTGTATACACCTACGCCATTGTGATCGATTCTGAACCATGTCTCCCAGTCTCCAACCATTGGTTACGATAGTCACACGGACCCCAACCAAGTAGTTTGCATCTACCAACATGGTTCAGACTAGAAGTTAATGACTTCAAGCACTGATGCAACGTTTTGGTTCGGCAGCCCCTAACTTTCTTCCAACCATCCCCAATACTAGTCAGCATAGCGCGTCGTGGTAATCGGTGTTCAGGCATACGTAACACGTGGCCAAACCATCAGAGTCGATGAAGATTAATGACATCATCAACTGATTTACCATCATTCCCTAATGCCCTCTGTCTAACCTCATTATTACTTACCCGGTGATCCCAGCAGATGCGAGCAATATTTCTAAGGCATCCGTGGTTCAATACTAGTAACTTACGAGTATCTTCTACTCTTAATGGCCATGTTTCGCAGTCGTAAAGTAGAACAGAGCGAACTGCTGCTCAGTATACTCGTCCATTAATTAATAGACGAATATTTCGTCTTCGCCATAAGTGACGTAAGTTGGCAAAAGCCAAACGGGCTTTTTGATTCCGTACAGAGATTTCGTCAGACACCAACCGATTAGGGCTGATCAGACTTCCAAGATAAGTGAAGTTGTCGATGCGTTCGACTACCCCACTCCCTATCCTTAGTTCAGGTGTTGATACAGGCCTATCCCGGAGTAATAATTTACACTTAGAGGGGGAGAAATACATCCCAAACATCCTGGCATTGTTACTTAGTTCTAACAGAGACTCTGCATTTTGTCAGCGTCTTCACCAAACAAGACTATGTCATCTGCGTATTCTAAGTCGATAAGTGGACCTCCTAGTATGAGATCAATTCCTGAAAATTCAATCGACGGGAGTGTTATTTCCAGCAGTAGGTCTATGATGAAGTTAAACAAAAATGGGGATGGTGGACAGCCTTATTGGATACCACTTGATGTTGTAAAATCGGATGACAGTTCGCCATAAGCTCTCATTCGACTGGTAGAGTTCGAGTGAAGAGCCTTCACAAGGTTTGTGTACTTCTGAGGTACACCTTTCCATGACAGACACTGACACAGAACCACTCGGTCTAAAGAGTCAAATGCTGCTTTTAAGTCAAGAAAAAACTATCATTGCCGGACGCCAGTAAGCATGCCTGTGTTCTAAAACATGACGACTAGTGAATATGTGGTCGATACAGTCAAGACCAGGTCTGAAGTCAGACTGATTTTTTCGTATTTGCAGTTCACGAGTCTTAGTTAGGCGTCCGATAATTATTGAGGCTAGTATTTTAGACCCTATATTAGTCAAACTAATCCCTCTATGGTTATTACAGGGTGATTTTGACCGCTTCTTACATATTGGGACAATCAGAGATTGTGATCAGACGGATGGGATTACGTCCAACTCCCATATTTTAGCCTACAACCTCTGCCTCTTTTGCTTTCGTTGCCCACCACTGCTCACGATCGTTCCTTAGACTTTTGGTTAGCCTAGATCTGATTAGCTTTCGCTCTTCATGTTCAGAGCCTGATGGGATGAGTTTATGAGGATCCATCAGAGAAGTAGACTTAGAAGAAATCCAATTGATTTTTTGTAACCCTTTGGTTTAGATTACTAATAGATGTTACTGCTGTTTCCACAGCTGTTCGTATATCTTTCCAAGCAACATTTGGGTCAGCCTCGTTTACAGAACTTCCTAGATGTGAACTCAATTGTTCCTGGAACTTACTTTTGGCTTTCTCTTCACTGATTTCAATTTTAATGGGTCTTCTTAGTGTAGTTTTTCTGCGTTCATTGAGGCGCAAACAAATGCGTGCTCGTGTTAAAGCGTGATCAGAGTCTGAACATGTATTCTAGAACGAGTGACAATCTTCTGTCGAGCCTCTCCAACGATGACTGATGGCAATATGGTCTATTTGAGTTCATCGTTAGTTTTGCGCAGGTGGTCGCCATGTTAGACAATGTCCATCCTTAAGCTTAAAATTAGTGTTTGCTAAAAATAAACGATTGTCTGAGCATATTTGCAACAGACGATCACCATTAGTTGTTTGCTGAGCTCACTTACTTACTCACGCCTGTTACTCCCAATGGAGCATAGGCCGCCGACCAGCATTCTCCAACCCACTCTGTCCTGGGCCGTCTTTTCTAGTTCTATCCAGTTTTTGTTCATTTTTTTCATGTCTGTCCCCATTTCTCGGTGTAATGTGTTCTTTGGTCTTTCTCTTCTATTTTGGCCTTCAGGATTCCATGTGAGGGCTTGTCTTGTGACGCAGTTGGGTGATTTCCTTAGAGTGTGCCCAATCCACTCCCAGCGCTTTTTCCTGATTTCATCCTCCAGTGGAATTTGGTTTGTTCTCTCCCACAGTAACTTGTTGCTGATAGTGTCTGGCCAACGGATCAGAAGTATCTTGCGTAGACAGTTGTTAATAAACACTTGTATCTTCTGGATGATGGCTTTCTTTGTTCTCCACGTCTCCGCCCCACACAGTAGAACTGTCTTGACATTTGTATTGAAAATTCTGATCTTGGTGTTGGTTGACAATTGTTTTGAGTTCCAGATGTTCTTCAGTTGCAAATATGCTGCCCTTGCTTTGCCGATCCTCGCCCTCACATCTGTATCTGATCCACCGTGTTCATCAATGATGCTGCCCAGATATGTAAAGGTTTCCACATCCTCCAAAGCTTCTCCGTCAATTGTAATTCGATTGGTGCATGTTGTATTGTATCGGGGAGTCTTGCTTTTCCCTTTGTTTATATTGAGACCTACTGCTGCTGAGGTTGCTGCTACACTGGTCGTTTTCTCGTGCACTTGTTGTTGTGTATGCGATAGAAGAACCAGATCAACTGCGAAGTCTAAATCGTCCAGCTGCATCCTGTGCTTTCCTCCAGATGTTGACGTCCAGTCGATCACCAGGAGAAAGAGAAAGGGTTGTTTGCTGAGCTGGAATACTAAAATACCCATCTAAATGTCTTTCTGTTTGGTTTAAGGTACCTAATTGAGCATTAAAGTCACCCGCTACGAGTACTACGTCTGAGCGCCTAGCTTTTTGAAGAAGTTCAGAGAGCTTT